ATTGTTTTAATTCTGTCTCTCATTTTTATGGTTAGGTTTGTCTGTCTTCCCAAGTCCCTGCACCATTCACAGCTACGAGGTTGGGAGAAAATCAATCCTTGGCAGTTTTCCTTCTAATTCTTATCCAACTTCTACCATCACAAGTAGTTCACTCATTAAATTGTTGACTTATTCATACTCCCACCTTTTAATATTCAGTCAGGGATGTGTGCTTTGCTATTTATCCCTATTTATTCCATCCCTAATGACTCTTGAGAAGGTTGTGATGAGCTGCCTTTTTGATTTGCTGCAGTCAGTTTGGTGTAGGGATACCTACAGTGCTGTCAGAGAGGGGTTTCCAGCATTTTGACCCAGCGTCAGTGAGGGAATTCTGATATGTTCCCATGTCATGATGGTAAGTAGCTTGGAGAGGAACTTGCATTGAAATGCAATGAGATCTGGACAATATCCAGGCTTGGGCTGGCAAGAGGCAAGAAACAAAGGTGCCACGCAAATGCCAATCTATGACCATCACCAATAAGAGACAATCTGAGCACTGTCCCTTGACATTCAGTGGTGTTGCCATCACTGCATTCCTCCACTATCAACATCCTGGGAGTTGTCATTGATCAGAAACTCGACTGGACTCACCACATAAACAGTGGTTACAAGAGCAGGTCATAGGCTATGAATACTGCACAAGGAAGTCATCTTCTGACTCCCAAAAGCCTGTTCACCATCTTCAACATACAAGGCACAAGTCAGGATTGTGATGGAATACTCCCCACTTGCCTGGATGAGTACAGCCCCAACAACACTCAAGAAGCTTGACACCATCCAGGACAAAGCAGCCCACTAGATTGGCACCACATCCACAAGCATCCACTCCTTCCACCACTGATGCTCAGTAGCAGCAGTATGTACTAGCGACAAGATGCACTGCAAAAATTCACCAAAGATTGTCAGAGAGCACCTTCCAAACCCACAATCACTTCCATCTAGAAGGACAAGGACAGAAGATAGATGGGAACACCACCACCTCCAAGTTCCCCTCCAAGCCACTCACCATCCTAACTTGGAAATATATTGCCATTCCTTCACTGTTGTTGGGTCAAAATCCTGGAATTCCCTTCCTAATGGCATTGTGGATCAACCCACATCAGGTGGACTGCAGTGGTTCAAGAAGGCAGCTCACCACCTTCTCAAGGGCAACTCAGGATGGGCAATGAATGTTGGCCAGCCAGCAACACCGTCATCCCACAAAATGAATAAAAAAAAAACCCATCTTCAACTCAGCTTGCCTTTTTTCCTTGCAAATTAATTTATGAATTAATTCTCCCCCCGCCCCACCATCTTTTTATCTTGACACACTCATCCCTACCTTGCACTTAGTATACATTTGGAGAGAATAAATGATAAAATGAGCAGCCGTAAGGTCCCTTCATTGTCAATCAGCATCCTTCTTCTCCACCCACCTCCTTTTTAATTTTTCTCTCTCACTCTTTTGCTGTCACAGTTTAACTTGTAAAAACAAAACCTAACTTGGATAAAATCTTCAATAATGTAAAATTAACGAAGGAAGTTTGAAGGACTATTAGAAAACAAAAGTTTGATATAGAGCCAAGAATGAGCTATTAGAACATAAAACCAATGTTTGGTCAAATAGTATCCTAAAGGAGGAAAGCGAGGAAGAGAGTTTGAGGGAAGAAATTCTGGAATTTGGTTTCTTTGCAGCAGGAAACACAGCCACAAAGGTGGAATGATTTTAAAATCCTGGATGCTCAATAAACTAAAATAAAATGGTACAAGCATAATTTTGTGCTTCCATTAGTGCTATAGAATCACAGAATCGTATATGTCATTTTATGAATCAATATATCTTTAGAACTCCTATTTTATATCAATAAAGGCTCTCAAGCCAAATCACCACATAAACAATTGAACAATTCTAAATCAATGCTGCAGCAAAATGTAATAAACAATTTCTATGCGGTTGTTGTTTTGCCTTTCTTTGATTTTCTTCCAATACACAATTGGAAAAACAACCGTTAAATGTGTATACTACTGAAGTTGGATGTATTTCTTTCCATCACTGTGGGTTGTTAACTGTTTCCTACAATGTTGGATGTACTGATCACTCGATCTGAAAAATTTTAGTTTCCAGTCTCAATAGAAAGTATTTTGAGAGATTCAACTTGCATTATTTTATTGTTGTGCTTCTGAATGATAATTAGCCATAGAAGAGGGTGACATGGAAATTTGAGTAGAACAAAAGAGTTGATTACAAAGCAGTAAATAATGTGCCATAATCTGGAAATTGAACAACTGTACTTTGCAAGTTGGCAACCCTTTTCAAACACCACTGGACTAAGGCCTGATTTGATTAATCTTGAAGGAAAGTATGAGAAATAACTGAAGAAAGTCAAAATGACTTGGAAGAAAATTCACACTTTCTTTTAATTTCAAGCAAATGAGAAAACAGTCACTTTGACTGCAATGTTTCCACCTTGATCATTTCTGTTCAGAACCTAAATTTGTTTTTAGGGTGACTATCCTGAAAACTTCATTTATTTATTATTCTTCAGATGTAATGGGAAGGGAAGGTGGTCTTCTAAATGGTAGTTGGCCATCATGATTGGGGAGAATTTATATTTATGAGTTCTTAAAACATTCCACTAATAGAAATTAAAACCAAGTATGGAGACTCTCCTTGTGTCTAAAGTATCAAAATGATCTGATTAATTTTCAAAAGGGCAGAAACATTTTTGTTAATTTCTACATTAAAACAATAGTGATGTCCCTAGGTATGGCTTTCACACTTCCATATGCCTTTCTGTAAGGGCCAGAAAATTACTGCAGTTAAGTTTTAACATTCTACTCGTCAAAACACTCACACTTATATTTATCACCTGTGATAGGCTTTCTTAACAGAAGTTCCTCTGATGAATTTTTAGAAGTATTACCTATGGTAGGAATTTCTGTCAACACTTCACGCTTGCTGGACTTACAGTCAATATGTGTACTCCTTCTAGGTGAACACTTAAGTGATAAATGTATTCTGTACCAGGCCAGATGGCATGCCAATAAACTGGAAGTCAGCACTTGCAATTCTGCTTCAGGCCTCCCAGCCCTTCTTGGAATAGACAGTGCTTCCATTGTAAATTATGCCAGTTAGGCTGACAAGGTTTTAACATCCTTTGGAAATTAAGCTATAATTTCATATTGGAATCTTAGTTAACTATCTACTAAACATTCTAGCAACTTTGATAGCTGACCTATGTCAAGTAAATGAGAAGTATATGTTTAAATGTATTTGAAGCCATCCAATTCATTCTTTAGCACACCTTGGAAAACTGAGTTGTAAGGTAAATTTAGACAGTTTACAGTTCACCAATTGAAAAATCCAGTGTTCTAAAATTATGCTGATTTGGTGCCGTGTATCTTGACATCCTTATTTTTGCACAAATATACATATTGCATTATATTTTCAAAACTTAACTGGTAGTGATGATAGTGTAAATTGAACTGAATTCTACTTCTAGCTCAAGCATGGATAAGAGAACCAATGGTCACTCAATTGATTGCCATTCAATGGCTTAGCCTGGGCACTTAATCCTATAGAAAAAAAACGTTCTTTTGTTTTTGCTGAATGTACAGGAAATTCTTTACAATCTTGGAAGTGCATGTTGAAAGGAAAACCTTTGTCCTCAGGTCAGCCACACTCCAGTGATGGCAAGATAGTAAACTGAATTTAATAGAATAAAAAGCACTCTTTTTTTGAAGTTTTATATCTAAAACTGGAAAAAGTTTTTGTCCCTAATTTAGATGCTATCACTTACGTAGTCTTAAAAACTCATGAAAAAGTACTTTTCTTTCCTTTGAAAAATACTTGCACCAACATAGTACTGATATGAAATGTTATAATACAGTGGATTAAGCAATACTTTGCATTTCTGTATCTATTTGCTGAAAAAATCCACTTTGTTTATGCTAATAATTAAATACTTAAATAAATCTTCCATGTGTTTTATGATTCCAACCATTGTGTTACATAATGTTTACATTAATGATTTGGATTTAAAATAACTTTCATCAGTTTAGTATACCCTATATAAATATATCAAATAGTTTGTGGATTCAGAATATTAGAACTGATACATTGAAAAGTAATTTGCAGTGTAATGTATAGTTTCGACATTTGACAACTTCAGTATGAACTTTCTTCCAATGTTTGTAGATTCTTTAGTTTGAATATGAGCAGTTAAACTTAAATAATGGTGTGTAAGATTTCTTTTAACAAAAACAGAAATTGCTGGAGGACCTTGGCAGCCTCTGTGGACAGAAAGCACAGTTAATTTTTCAAGTCCAGTGCCCCTTCTTGTTCTGAAGCAGTGTGATTAGACTCAAAACATTGACTCTGATTTCTCTCCACAGATGCTGTTAGACCAGTTGAGTTTCACCTGCTTTTTTATTTTACAGATCTTCAGAATCTACAGTTCTTTCTTTTGTTATAGCACCATCGATAGCACTGTTTCTTAAAATGTAAAGTAGTTGTGTAAATTTGCTACAAATATGGTGAATTGCACCAGTGAAAATGAGAGCTTTGTCAAATGCAGTACAAATAATGTGAACTTCTCATGAAGGATACTAAATTACAATATCAACCATAATTAAGAATATTCATTAACTGTTACCTTTTTTGTTTACTCAGAATATTCTATTTATTGTCTATAGTAAGAAAACACAAAAATACCATGCACTTCGATTGCAGCATTTGTGGAGAGAAAGTAGAGTTAATGTTTCAAGTCCAGTGACTCAAAAGTAACAAATTCCCAGAATGTTTGGTCTGTTCATGTATTCCTGCTGTCATCTTTAATGACATATTTGGAGAGGTAACTTTCTGAACTAATCAAAGCAACAGGTACAATGTGAAGTAGTTTCTGAAATTTTGAATGCATTGTGTTAACGAGTGGAAATGTGAGAAAATAATAACTTGAATGATTCTTATTTCTAATTTTTAGACAAGTAAAGGATCAAAATAAAAAAGTGGCCAACCTGAAGCACAAAGAGCAGATGGAAAAGAAGAAAAATGCACAATTACTGGAGGAAGCTCGTAAACGAGAAGACAACTTGACCGATAACTCTCAGCAGATGGAGGTGGGTTGATAGATATCCATTATCCCTGCCTCAGTTCACCTCATCTTTTCCATATATACACATCATTGAGCTCACAATGTGCATTTATGTTCACCAGATCCATGGACATTATTAATGGGTATAAGCTAGAGACCCAACCCAAGGAAATTTTTATTATGTACACAAGCCTACCTAAATTAAAGTACCTGAAACACATACAGAGGAATTTAATCCTGGAATGCTGGTTAAACATACAACTTAAATTTTCAAAGCATTTTGATGAAAATTAAGCCTTTTTTTTGGAAAGTTAGATGTTAGGGATTCTTGTGTCTGCCTTCCGCAATGATCAACAAAGTATTGGTGTGACACAACAAACTATAAAACTGAGCTTATTCTAGTGACAAGGTCCCTGGTCATTATTTGCTAATGTGATGCTCCCTGGTATTCTACAGTGTTTGAGCTCAGAAATATTATTAGATCTGGAGCACAGTAATGTAATGAGTTCTGGTGCAAGCTCTTCAAAGATCTGAGGAAGGTTGGGGAGTTTTATTGCAAGTATTATGAAGTTTTTTTTGTGTTCATAGATCAAATTTCAAAACTGTTGAGTATTATTTTGCAGTACAATTGTTTAAGGAGCGAATTAGAGATTATTTTCTGGTGTTAGCCGTATCCATTCTAGTAGGAGAGGGAAAGTCAGAAGTCTGGCTATTTAATGTAATGCTGATTGAACCACTTCACGTTATAGTAACAGAGCAGCTAACGTATGGGAGTTTCTAGTTTGCTGCTTCTTTACAAAGTTTTCATTTGTGATAGCAGCATTAAAATGTCCTTTACACCAGCTGGCTGAATGACCTATTTTTGTGCAGTAATCTGTGTAAGATTCCTGTGGCAAAATTAGGCCATTGTAATTTACTAATATCACTTGCTTATATTAACATTCTGTAACCTATAATGAAACCCAGCTATCAAGAGAGTTTTCTTTGCAGTCTTAAATGTAATGTTATAGCAAAGTGATGTAGAAAATATTTCCCCACCTTGGCCACACTGGACACAACCTGACAAATCATCATGATGTTGAATATCAAACAGGAATCAAGCTAAATAAGTGAACTGAAAACACATTGGATACAATTTTTCTCAAAATTTCAAATCAGGTGATTATAAGAGATGAATAACATCTATCATGTTAGATTACTTTTGTTTCCATGCTTAATAGGTTTGCACAGTTTTGATGTGTTATGTGCCAAGAAATTGAAATGTGTATCTGACTATGGTTAATATAAGAATATGGATTTAAAATGTATCTGAAAGTGTAATACTCTGTCTCAGTGCTTGATTTGCCTACTTAAGCACCATTAATATCTGTTCCATTTAATTTGTGTAGCGTGATTAACTTCTTTTTCTACCTCGCAAGCCAGTCGACTTGTGTTAGCTTGCAGCTATTTAACAAATGGACAGTCATGACAGAACTTTTAACAGGCATGGTTTTTCTCCACAGTTTAAAAATATGTTGAGCAGACTACAAGGTTTTCAACACTGGCTTCAGCTCTTCAATTTCACACTGCTTATTGATCACATTGTTTGTAGTTTTCTGCTAAAACAGTTTTGCATGTCATAAAGGCAAATGCCTTTTTAAATAAAGATACAAAAAATTAATGTGAGGGCAGATTTGAAAAAAAGTGCACTTTTACGGTTGTCCTACAGGATTTAACGGAGAACTAAAAATTTAATTGAAATTTCAGCTTGTTTGATTTCTAGTGATCATGTCTGAGGTCATTTCTAACAGTATTGCGAGTAGCACTCCCTTAAATCAGCTGTTTAGCATCTCTATGGATGGGACAGCTGAAAATCCATTCAAGGTGTATAGCTGGATGAACACAGCAG